AAGAGAGAGAGAGAGAGAGAGAGAATTGACCTATATCATTAGACAAAGATATACGCAGATATAATTTTGTAAATTCAAGGTAAAAAAACAACTAAATGAGTTCTAAATTTACACACTATATACTAAGAAAGCAGAGAGTAATCAAAAGCATCAAACAACAACTGACCTTGATTATAGAGCTCCACAAATCTCCTCTGATACTGACTCAGTTCAGCCCGAGACGGGACCTCATCGATCTTCCTCTGCAAACCAGCAATCTCTCTGTTTTTCTTAGCCTGAAAACAAAACCAACCTCCTAGTTAGAACAAGGGCAGAAATAATAGTTATAATGGTAATCCGAATACTGGTACGCATCTCATTTACAACTCAGTAAATATCCTGTGCATAACAAAAATACAACGAGAAAGGTCTTAAGAAAAAAGCAGAAGAATGAAGGGAATGAAGAGGAGGGGAGAAAGAGATAGTAAGACATACTGTGAATGAAAGAAGGACAGAAGGAAAAAAATATTGAAAAAGACAAAGTGATAGAGAGAGATGTGGGGGAATGAATGAGAGAGAGAGACATGCACACAGGGAAAGGAGGAAGGCAAGGAAAAACCAAAAAGAGAACAGGAAGAGAGAGAAATTGGGGAGAGAAGTAGCAAAGAAAAGGGATAATAAAGGGCATGCACCCTTGCATGAACATGTATTTCTACTTGTGTGTATGTTTCCGAGCATTTTCATGACGCATAAATGTGTGAGGTGTCCATAACAGTGTATATTAGCTCATATTGCATATCTTGCTGTTTGTATTGGTGAGTTGCAGTTTAATTGATTCGACATATCAAATACTTACTGTTGGAAGTTATCATGAATTGAATTCAGGAGCTGTACCTAGAAAAGAAGAGGGAAAAATTGATGCAGTAAGAAAAAGATTAAGTGGAGGGGGTGAAATAACTAGATAACAGCCAGCTGATTTGCAGCTAAATAAGACAGATAAATAATTATTTTTTTCAAGTGCATCCAAATCATATCAAAAGAAGTTTTCAAATAGTATAAAAAGGGATAGGTAAATAAAGTAATTGAGATAATAAACATGTATTCAGACTGCCTATATCACAGATTTTGTACGAAGCCTCAAATTGGCGTAAAATCTTAATGACTATGGAGCATTAGCAGGTAGTTTAATCAGTGTCCATGTGCTGCAGCTGTGAAAGCAACAATGCCTTATAATAGAAGTCCAAGTACTGCACTCACAAAGGAAATGAATACATGTATTTGCTACATCCATTTATGTATTTTGCGAATTGCATTGTGTATATTATTTTACTATGTATTCGAATGTGCTAATTTCGTAACGATGTGTGAGCCTGCGTGTGTGATAAGTAAGTAGATGTGTGGGTATGTGTGTGTGTGTGTGTGTGTGTGTGCTTGTGTGCATGTGTTTGTGTGTGTGTGTGTGTGTGTGAGTGAGTGTGTGTGTGTGTGTGTGTGTGTGTGTGTGTGTGTGTGTGTGTTTGGCGTGCATGTGTGTGCATGTGTGTGCATGTAATGTGAGCGTGAGTATGTGTGTGTGTGTTTGTGTGTGTATGTGTGTGTGTGAGTGTGAGCATGTGTTTAGACCATAGTTGCTACTGAATAAAAATATATCGTTATATTTCTTTTGATTTGTTACAAGGGTTTGTAAGCAATTTCTCAAGTCTTTTAAAAAAACATTACTGATCATGAAAACAATATATTTCTTTGCCTCAGAAGTATTTTGTCTAAAGTGCCTCTTTACTTAAGTACACTTTGGACAAAATAGTTCTGAGGCGACGATTTTGTAACACAGCAAAACCTTGCATATATGAATACAATTCTAAAGAAAAAGACCACCTGTCGTCATAGACAGAAGCCACAATACTGGCAGGGTTGTCAGTGTCACATGGAGGAAAACACAAACTCACTTCTTTGCTCAAGTAGGCCTTTGTGTCATCCAGTGTGTTATACAGTGTGAAGAACTGCTTCGTCTCTGTGTGCTTGGAGGACACTGCAAGGCAAAACGCAAGGACATTAGAAAGTAAACAAGTACCTCAATTAAATAGTGACTCCATTCCACATTCCAAAAACACTAATCATAAAGACGTTAAATGAAAAATTAAAGCTTTTGTCACTTTCTACACCAAAGGGTTTACATGGAAACTTTCAGTACATGACAGAGAGAAACACACTCAGAGAGAGAGAAAGAGAGAGAGAGAGAGAGAGAGAGAGAGAGAGAGAGAGAGAGAGAGAGAGAGAGAGAGAGAGAGAGAGAGAGAGAGAGAGAGAGAGAGAGAGAGAGAGAGAGAGAATTGACCTATATCATTAGACAAAGATATACGCAGATATAATTTTGTAAATTCAAGGTAAAAAAACAACTAAATGAGTTCTAAATTTACACACTATATACTAAGAAAGCAGAGAGTAATCAAAAGCATCTAACAACAACTGACCTTGATTATAGAGCTCCACAAATCTCCTCTGATACTGACTCAGTTCAGCCCGAGACGGGACCTCATCGATCTTCCTCTGCAAACCAGCAATCTCTCTGTTTTTCTTAGCCTGAAAACAAAACCAACCTCCTAGTTAGAACAAGGGCAGAAATAATAGTTATAATGGTAATCCGAATACTGGTACGCATCTCATTTACAACTCAGTAAATATCCTGTGCATAACAAAAATACTACGAGAAAAGTCTTAAAATATAAATAAATACTCATTTAGAGTAAAGACGACAAGTCGTCTTTTTCGTTAATTCAAGTTTTTTTTGTGTGTGTTTGTGTTTTGATTTTTTAATTTTTTTGGGGGGAGGGGGGGGGGGGGGGGGGGAGTCAGGAAGTACAATTATCTCTGCAACAAAAGTCAGGATGGACTATTCTATCTGCAAAAATTTGAAGAAAAAAAAAAGACACAATAGATGTCTGTAAAAGTCACTATTAGATTTCTAACTCTTTACAAACACATTGCTTGGAAATTAGACCTAAGTTGTAATCTCTTCAGAGATCACAGCATTGCAACTGTCATTTAATATATGTATTCAAAGGGAAATAAACATATGAAGAACAAAAAATAAAACCTCTGCAGTAACTAATGGCCATGGAATCTCTTCCAACTACACATATACAGGACAACTGTGTGGGACATTTGGACAGTGGCCAGCAGAACGACGGTCCTGCCTTGTACCCCAGGAAGAGCAAATAACACACCCAATCAAGGTCATGCCTTCACACCATTAAATTGAGAACATTTTTGTGATTAGTCACAACCTCATTTTCTTTTTTCTTTTTTTTTCTGTGACAGGAATCATTGCACTTCTCGTTCACACCAGTGAGATTCCCTCTATTCCATTTTGTCATGAAATTCTTTCCCACAGAGAACAGCTGCAATCACTCATTCAGAAATCTGTGAGCTTTCGTAAGTAAAGGTAAATGAATTGGTTAAATACCCCTATTGACATATTTGATTATTTAAGAAGTGGGGGGCTCCAAATTTAACGTCCATCTCTGATGGGACAGAGCCAAATGGGTTGAGAGCCTTGAAAACTCCATACAACCATCCCAGTTCTAGAACTTCCAGTCTGGTATTCAAACCAGGCCCATCCATTCCAAAGTCCAACATGACATCACCTGAGCTGATGAAACACCCTCGAGCTTTCGTCTTTTAGCCCGCTGCAATCTAACATAAAACAAATAGAACAACAAGTCTTACAAGCAAAAGCCTGATCTTGTGGAGTTTTTCCTTATCTGCCGTGTACTGCTTGTCAATGAGGTTCACACGCTCCTGGGGAGTATAATAAAAAAGCATGACTACTTTTGCCAAATGTCACTTCAAAAAAAGCACAACTAAAATCACACCTCTTAAAGGAATTTTGTTATCTTGAAAAATAATTAGTTTTAACACTATGACTAATATGACATTATATAAATTATTTCTTCTTTAACATAAATCCAGCAACAATTTTTCAAGTTTTGTAATAAGCTACACACAAAGAAGGTTGCCCACAATCAAAGTAACTGCAGTTTTTATTCCTATTTCATTACTATGACCACATTTTTTTTAAGTGACAGGAAAAATAGATGAAAGATAGACCAGAAGGTAAACCCATTTAAGATACTGTAAGACAGAAGATACAAAACATATAACATCGACAGCATGATTACATTAGAAACAGCTGACTTGTACACTGTTCTTAAGTTAAGTTATAAGAATGCAGAGATCACATTAGTACAAAATTATACGACTGTGTTTACAAAAGACCAAATACTAGTCTTAAAAGTCTTAAACTACGTACAAGTGCATCCATAGATTCTTACACTAACTTTTTAGTTTTAGTAAGATTTTTACGGCACTTGCAACACAATAAAGTCATATAAGTGCCCAAGATTAGAGGTGTTACAAGAGAGTAACATACACAAAAAAGGAGAAGGAGAGATACTGACGGTAGATGTTTGATAGGAAAGATTGAGCAAATCACACCATAGCACCCACCAACCACCCACTGTGTGTCACTTACTGTGACGATTTTCATAACAAAAAGGCTGTGAAAACAATAAGTACTGGGGACTGCACAGTTTCTCTTGAGAGCTAGTCAATGATTCAAACCCAATCATTTCTCACCTTGTCCTCACCGTCCACAGCATCAGCCTCCTCCTTAAGTTTTTCAATGTTCTTCTTGAGTCGCGCCATCTCCTCCTATATTGAGAGCAAGAAAGCTGACTGAACAAAAAGGGCTACAAAAAAGGATAGTTTGAGCCATTGTTCAAATGAACAAGAAAAATAACTGTAATCTGTTTGCCAACTGACAAATGCTAAAGTATCCCTGCATTTGTACCAAGACAAAGATAAAGTATTCATTTACTATATATTGGAAGGAGAGCTGACAAAATGATTTACTTCTCGCAATCGTCATTTCTCGGCAGAAAATCAATACTTTGGTTAAGTTTATAGATTTTCAATTGATGCCATTTTCTATAAGTTCAACATGTCTCTTATCATCTCATAATAATAAATTGTACAAACTCTGCTTGTAAATTTGACATATTTCTGTCCAAAGGGTGATACTAAAATCACACGGTTTCAAAAGAATTTATAGGCAGGGCAACATCTAATCATGCAACTTGAAAGAAAAAAACTTTCAACAGTAATATTGTGTTAAATATTTCTGTGATATGACAAATCAATATCAATTTTCGATATAGTTACTAGTTTCTCAAGTCTCTGACCTTGCAGTGAGCCTTGAATTCCTGCTCTTGCTGCTTCAGGTTCTCATTCATAGCAACAAGTGATCGAAGATTTTGCAGTATTCTGAAGAAGAAACAGAAATACATATCAGATCAGAGTTTTTAATCCTGCTGCTAAAAAATATGTCATGATAATAAACATATGAACATTTTAAAATTACTCTACAGCATTTCTCACTGAAAATATTAAAAAAGAAAGCTATAAACTGTAAATAAAAATCGTTTACAAGAGAAGAAAATGCAATGCTTTTTTTAAATTAAGAGAAATATAGATATTTTTGTCTCAAAATTGTACCCCCACTAAGATACATGAATCAATAAGACTTGATAAGAGCCTAAACTTCATCGTGTATTCAAAGAAATGACATGAAGTAAAATGTATATATCAATTTCATTTTTAAAACCACAAAAGGAGTAATTAATATTAAAAAGACAATCAATGAAAAGCAATATTGATTGAAACTGCTATGTACGACTCGTACATTTTTATTTTTCCCTTTTCGGATTGAAAAAAATCTCATTTTCAGATGGCACGAGACCAACAATTAATAAAATATTTTCTGCGGACATATCCGTCTTAATCCAGCAAAATTTCTTTATTTCACTAAACTTCGCCTCAAAAGACACCATGATATTGTGTCCATACTATGGAGAACTTTTTGTTTTACATAACATAAAACAATATGGAACACTAAAGACTTCCCATGTCCCTGAATTTTGAGAAAGGGTTTCAGTTCTTAGTACCTCTAAGACAACCATTTTCTTTCTTTAAAAAAACCAACCCAAAACCCCCCCCAAAAATTTGATTACAAAATATGAAATTTTATGCTGTAGCATATGGAACAGCTGAGAGATACCCTTGGTTTTCCCCTTGCTCGATCTCCGTCATCCTCTCCATCTCAGCCTCCATGTCAGCACTTTGCTGCTGCACCTCCTCCAGCTTCTGCTGCGTAGCCACGTACGTCTCATGGAGTTGATTGTGTTTAGAGGTCAACTGGAGACACAAAAAAAAAACCCTCAACAAATGTCTAAGAGTGAGTGACAAGAGCTTTTCAAAATGCATCCTTCTACTGGAGTAACATTGATTTACTCATTATCTTTTCAGCTCAAGGAATGGATGAGAATATTAAAACAAGATGGAAATTTGAAGTAGGGTATTGGAACACAGTCAGAAAAATAACTTATCATAAACACTCGCCTTTAACACCAACAATAAAAAAAAAGGCAAGGTCCAAAAGCCAAAAGCATATCTCCCCCTCCCCCCTCCTTTATTACATTTTATGAGCAATGTACAGCCAGGAGAGGGTGCAACATTGACATGCTGATTTATCTAAAATCTGGATATTAAAACACATCACAGCCTCTTGCTTGGATTATACCTGCCACTCCAGTCTCACAGATTCAACCAATCTCAGTGCAACAACAAAATATACAGTGATTTTTAAAATCTTTTAAAAACAAATTGTCATACATAAGATACTCCAAAATGCTAATCTGTCATTTTTTAACCACAACTGAGTAAGATACCTACAGGAAAAAAAAATATCAAGTGAGAGATTGACAGGTCCACCCGAGTGGTTCCCGGGGCCCTGTCCAAGAGACAGGGGAGCAAAGAATAGGACCACTGTATCCGTACCGCACATGTCATAGAAGGCAACTAAGGTCGGTTGGGCAAAGGGTTAGCAGCCCTTTCCCGTAAAACAAAAAACAGCTACAAAAACATCAAAAGCAAAATCAACATGACCGCCAGTTCTGGAAGATAGGGGACCTTTATCACCGAAGAGAGGAGAGAAAACGGAGTTTAGACAAGCGGAAAAAGAAAAGGCGGGGACATTACGGAAACACCTAGAAAAGGATGCACAGGACAGGCTTTGCAGGAGAAATGTTGTTGATGGCCTATGCTCCACTGGGAGTTAAAAAGGGCAAGAGAGATTGACAGGTCACTCTAACGAATGGGAAATTCAACGAACAGGTAAACCATCACTCCAGACAAAATGAATCAATTCCAACTGCATGATTGTCTCGCTAGTTCAAATCACTATTCTGAAGACCATTCATACCATAGCAGCTCTTGTTCAGCAATGTACTATAACACAGCAACTGTGATAACATATTTCTATTAAGACCTATTTTTAAAAACGTGTTTCAAACTAACACTATTTGTACAATATGACTAGAATGGTAGGACACAAAGAAAAGAGAAAATATAATCGCAATCAAATTCTCAGATAATTTGACACAATCCCTAATTCCCTTTTAGACAACATGAGAAAAAAATTAGCAAAATTGAAAAGGAGATCAGCCTACGTCTTCTAATTTTTCTTTCTGTTGTTCTATCTGCTTCTTCAGGGCTGCAGTGAGTCTTTGGTGCTGTTGGGCTCCTCCCTGTCTCTCTTGCTTCTCCATCTGTTCTATCTCAGCTTGCTGGAAACAAAGGAAAACAACACTCAGAAGCAGCTTGAATTTCGGCCGCATTTTATGGCGTTCTGTTGCAGGTGGAAATTTAATTGGTGGTGCTTCTACTTTTAAAAAAAAAGAACAATATCAATAAGGGGCAGTAAACAATAATCCATTGGCAAACTCTTTCTTCGCTGCATACATATTGTTTCGGACCAAAAAGCTGGTAACTGACAGACAAGAAAAGCAGAGCAAAGTTAACAAAATTAACGAACCAAAAAGCAGAGAATGACACAAAAGACAATGGATTGTAACATTGGACGTAGCAAAGATTTTGTATTCCTTTAAACACATTCACATGGAGGAAAAAAATAAAATGACCCATTACTGTCTTATTTAAGCAAACACTGTGAATTTACTACGTGGGTAAATCCCTGCGTTTGTGTGTGTTGCACAGTGGAAGACACCAGTAAAGCAGGAAATGGTCAAATTAACATGTTTTTCACAATTCTCAACCTTAAAATAAGACTTGACTTGACATGATGTTAGCTCAAAAGTAATCTGACATTTATCAGGACACAAACATTGGAAATAACAAACACAGCTAAGGGGAAGTTAAACAATTATTTTGAAAATCTGGCTAACATAGCTTTCATCCTGACAGCAAAGCAAGAAAAACCAAGGAACATCTACAGATTAACCAGTCAGTTCCGCTCCGACAAAAAAAAAAAAAAAAGAGAGAGAGAGAGAGAGAGAGAGAGAGAGAGAGAGAGAGAGAGAGAGAGAGAGAGAGAGAGAGAGAGAGAGAGAGAGAGAGAGAGAAAGAGAGAGAGAGAGAGACTGTCAGCCAATCACTTTATTCTTTTTAAAGTAGAAGACAAAATATTTCTTCATAAGAATCATATACAAAACAAAAATTGAATACTCAGATATGCTGTATGTTTTCACATCTTGTCACATTCAAAATAGTTACTGCTCATGTACTTCTAAATAACTCCTATGTCATTCTTTCTAAAATAGGGAAGTATCAATTCCTCTTTTTAAACCTCTTATTTAAAATAATTTTTTTTGTGAAAGCATATTTTCTTCTCTCAAAAGTTAATGAAAATAAATCTAAAAACATTGTGTAACTGAAACTCTAAATTTTGCAACATTGCTGTGAATGTTGAGTATGTAGCTAACATGAAGAATACTAAGCCTCAAGTCACACATAAAGATAAGGAACAACACATGAAACTAGATACTCACCTACCATTCACATACTCTGCCATCCCAAGGCAGAGCAGTGTATCAAGTTTTTTGGTTTCATCAAATTGTTTTACTAGCCTTGTACATATCCTTCTTGTTTCAAAGACAGCATGACATATCTACATCCAAAATAATAGATGTCGAAGTTGTAAAGCTGAATAAGTGACTGATCTCAACGGTAAGCATCAAGAGTTTTTCACGTTTTTCTCAAAATAATGAAACATGCAGTTATGTCCATCTGCCTTAGAATGACAGTTCAATTTAGACTGGTATGGCATAAATCTACATATAAAAATTGTAGAACCAGACATAAGAAAGAGAATGTAAAAAAGGCAAATAGGTGATGCCTCACAGACACAAGTTTCATGGCTATCTTATACCAGCTCACAGTTAGAAAAAAACAGCACTGTTCTGATCAGCAGCAACATAAACTGTTGACCTATTGTCTTACTTTCTGAGCATATTCCGAGGCCATCTTCTGTATCTCCTGTGACTGCATCCCAACTATGGAGCCCACAGCACTGGCTGTCACTTTACCCTAGGACAAATGGCCACAAATAAAAGATACACGCATCATGCACAACAAAAGGGGAATTCTCATGCCAAGCACACAAATATTTCGAATTCAAACATAAAAACACAATACCAGTTAGCGCTGATTGGGCAAAAAAGCTTTATACTAATCTATTCCTATACAAATCTCTTACATCTTTAAAAAAGGGAAGGCTGTGCAAGTCCTATAACAACAATCTCTGCCAAAGCATGTTCAGCTCAGATTCATTTTTGTTGTTGCTTGAAGGACTATTAAGTAGATAACCTGATTGTTTTATGCCAAGGTTAATACTATTGAACAAATATTTTTTTGATAAATCCCAGTGACAGCTGAAGCTGGGCAGAGCAAAACTCAAAAATTTCAAAAATCAAAAACACAACAAACACAAAAAGTGTAATAGCATACTAAAATAATACAGACTGTTTCTTGGATGCTCAGAAGTATTGAAACAGCACATTTCCCCATACACTCTTCACCCTCCTCCCATTCCCATCAAAGACAAAAGGGACGGACTGTGTTCTAAAAAGTGAAACCTCTAATGACCAACTATGCTCAAGAATATCATCCTGTAATCAGACATGACATGTGTGGTGGTTTGTTAAAAATCTCTGGATACAGCAGAATAAGTGTTTTCTGTGACAGAAGGCCACAGTGTGGTCACTGTAATGTTTGAAGCACAGAATATGCGTAATGCTTTACATCTAAGTCTACTAAGTAAGATAAGTTGCATAAAACAAAAACAGAACCCGAGCTAAAATTGTAAAATCATGAAAAATTCACATCCTAATTAAGATTCTGGGCAGATAAGAGATACTGCGTAAAAGCAAAATTATAAACCCTCCCAAGCATCAAGCTTAGAAACAGAGACAACAGCACTTTTACGGACTCATTTGCCTTTCTCCATATGTCATTAGAACCCATGAACTGACACAAGCTAAGAACAGTTACCTTCCATGCAGTTTCAACAAGTTCATTTTACATGAGGGCAAACCTACAATACACAGTGAAAATGACAACTGCGCGGCACATTAGACAAAATAGCCTTTTCACACATGGAAACACTAAATAACAATGAATAGGCCTAAACAGAAAGAAGTAAAAAAAAAAAAGCAAAGGCATGCTAGCTTATTTCCTCAAAATAGGAAAATTTTCGATAAAGAAAAATTCTCCAATACAGAGCCAGGTCACCAAGGACAATCAAACCTGATAAGTAATTTGACCCCAGAAATATAATGAATTAATAATGAACAACATGTTGAAGCCAACTCATTAAAAAGCCATCACTTTCTGACATCAGTTAGTAACTGTGAGTGTTCATATGAATCAAGGTCATACTTTAGATCAATAACGGCAGAACTAGCTAGAAACTCTTCGAACACGAAGTAGTAACAACAACAGTTGCAAAAGTACATTCCCATTTCAGGCAAAATTTACACGGAATAATAAAACACTAGATATTTCTTCAATACGTGTTGGATGGGGGCCAGTTCTCAAATTATTGAGCAGAAAAAATAAACACACTTAGAAAAAAACAACAACACTGAAGCAGTGCTTTCCAATCATGCTTTGACAGTTAAACTGTTTGGAAGCTCACAGAGAAATATTCAGTGTTAGCCGAGCCATCACTGTGACTCACCCTAGCACAACATACTCACCTCCTGAGCACCCATGGCAGACATACCACTCATCAAAGCTTTGATGCGCCGCTGGAAAGAAAGTTGCAGCAGGATAAATCTTTTTGTAACATAGTTGTATACAGAGAAAGTATCTAGAGTCTTAACCTGTTTGAGGATATTTTCAAAACCCAGGTTGACAGTACGTTTTTTAAATATTCCCCAATACGTCTTTTTGATAATGGACTTAAATCATGAAATCCTTTCCTCTTGAACAGGCTAAATTATATATATAATAAACAGCCTACTTATTATGTATATATTTGAAAAACTCCAACTTGAGTTCACTGGAAACCAGCTCTGATAGGAGAAGAAAACAGCAAAAAAATCTGCTCAATAATTTGAGGCTTAGATGCAATAAAAAGAGCTGTAAATGCTTAGAACAACAGAGCCTCAGAAAAGAAGAAGAGCGAGCAGACCAGACATACTCACATTAAGTACAGAGTAAGATAAACTGATATTAGAAGGCACTGTTCCGTCACAAAGGAGGACAGTGCTTGTTTTGTACTGTTCAACATTTAACATCTTGAGAAGACGGCCCATGTGGGCGACTGAGCAAAATGTGTGTCCGTAAAAGCTGGTGGCAGTGAGTGCAAGAACAGACTCAGTGTTCTAAACACTGTGGAATCATCTTGTCTCTTCAAGTGTTGCTTATGTACTTTGGCTGTAACATCTTTTTATTTCATCTTGAAACTGATCTACCCTTGCCGCTTACAACGGCTGTGATCTTCAAGCATTTGTAACCTGACTGTAAACTTGGTCTCTGTTGAAGTCATGTCATTTTTGCAAGCATCTTCGTTTCATAGCAGGGGTTTATGTTTTTTGTTCCTTCATGCTTTAATCTCCATAGAGGAAGTACTTATACAAAGTACATTAAAACCCATCTAAGACGGCCACCAATTATCTAAGAAAAAAGTGGCCATCTTAGAAAAGAAGCAGTCTTACACAGTGATACAGTAATGCATAAAAAAAAAACGTTAGAGGGGGAATAGGAGTTTACTGCTTGTACAGATGATTGTCTTATGCAGGTGGCCGTAAAAGCAGGTTTGACTGTTTTTAAACAGTGCTCTAAATGCCACAAGAGAATGCTCGAACTCTTTACCTCCTCTTCGGCCTGTAGCTCTTCCTCATTGTCCTGCGGCTCCTTGCTAAGACCAGCAGCGATGGCCTTTTTCTTGGCAGCCTTATCACTGTCCTTTTCCTCTTTGTCCGACTTGCTTACACCATATTGCCTGAAAAAAAAGAGAAAAAAGCTTTAGCAAAATTTAGCTTTAAAGAGACAGACAAGACAGTTTGTTCTGTGCACTGTAAAGGAAAAGTCACAATTATAGCATGCTCAGTTTTGAACAAAAAGTAATTATGTGCTCAAGGTAGCAGTAGGAAAATCCTCCACGAAAAAACAGGAAAAAAAAGATGATTAACTTAACCATGAATTTATGAATTTGAAGTGAAATACATAAATACCCCAATATCCAAAGAAAATTCTCTTCATATGGCTCAGATATAACTGTTTAACAACTGGGAATATCCTTCATTGCCACTCATTGCCGGTTTTGAAGCCTTGCTTGCCGCTTTTCAACTTTGAAAAAAAACCCCTGATGTTTTCTGCTCTTTTCTTCATGGACAAACATGATTCATTGTACAAATTATTTGAATAAAGGGAGCTATTCATGCCACAAAACAACAAAAGATGGTAAACTAGGACTACAGTCATACATTGAATTAAGATGTCCCTCTCTGTACATCAAAAAAGTACTAAGTAGTAACAGAAAAGCAACTGACAGGTGGCTTTAACGTGGTGGGGTGTGGGAGGCGGTCATAAATTGGAGTGTCTTAATTCTGAAAGACTACTAAACTTGGCTTTATCTCAACTGACAGAAGCAAAAAAGTGAAGAAAAAAAAAGAAGTGGCCGAAATTCATTGGGCCTGTGAAGTGCTGGACATCTTCAGAAAAAGGTCCTCTTCAGATAAAAGTTGCAGCCTATATTAATCAGACAGCCTTTCCCCTCTCTTTCCAACCTAAAACTGCAATTTCAGTACTAAGCAAAAACAATAGCCAAGAGATACATTTTCATGTAAATGAAGAAGAATTAGCAAAAATATGACAGGTATATCTAACACTATGCCCGGAACCCATCTCACCTGCCATACTCTAGGAGTGTTGATTGTACACGCATTTCCTCATCTGTCAGACTGTCAGCATCATGACGTCTGTATCGACGCTGAGGCCGGTAGGCATCCTGGGGAGATATTCTGTCGTAATTATTACAAGACAAACAGCTAATATCAATCAATTATTCATAAGTGTTATTACTGCTACCATTCTCAAGCTATGACGACTTGAAATTGATAAAACCAACAACATACCGGTACCCTGAAAACTTACTTCTCGAAAATCAGAAAATAGGAATTGCAACATAATTATCTTTAAGTATGGGCCTTCTCATTGCAAAGATGTAGTTGGTCTTTTATTTTTGAGTTTCTTGACATCAATTAGCATCAACCTTTTTATTTTTAATATATATTCTATATCTATGCCCTAAGAAACATGTGCAAAATTCACACTCTGTGCAATGCGTATGTCGTGCAAAATTTGAAGATAGAAAGCTAAATCCTACAAAATAGACTACATGCCTTCACATCCAAGACTGTGGTAGTTGCATTATCCTTTACAGCTTCAAACGCCTCATCCTAGGAAGAAAAAAACCCAACAGTTTTGACAACATTGAAAAGGGAAGAGGAACACTAGGAAGAAACATTTGAAATACAATTCCAAGACACAAAGTAAAGCAAACATGACAGCATATCGCCATGTGAGTCATAGCCAACTGAAGCTCAAAGAACTCAAACAAAATATGAACTTGAAACATAGGTTACAAACAAAAAAGAAGGAGCATGAGAGATAAGGATGATAGATGTTTGATGGGAAAGAAGGGGCAATAACCACACCAGAGCACCCGCCAAACACCCACGGACAAGCGTATTGAGGTAGGTAGAGTTGCACGAAAATAATTTTACAACATGGACATTAATTATTTATAATAATATTAAGCCACAAGAGAACCACAGACAACAGTACCCTCTACAAAAAGAGGGAATCAGATCTGAATGCCCCTTTGTTATCAGCGTCAGACATGGTGGTAATAATAATACACGTTTTGCTCTGAGTACAGAAACGAACATCAACACACTAAGGGTCATATAAAGCTGGGGGGGGGGGGTAAAGACCTACATACAGAAATCAGATGGATACTAAAGAAGCAGGACGTACCAGTGGCGCCCTCTAACAACCGACAACAATACACGGTTTGGAAAAATCATTTTTTTCATTTGCTATACGAATATATCTCTTGACTGAAGACATAGTCAGAATTGACCGAGACATCCACCTATTGTCGAGGAAAATTGTTGTCTTTGACAAGTGGACGTTTTGCATAGTGTCAGTACAATTTTTGTTTGTACAGCTCATTGTCTTGGTCGAGGGGGTGTTATAGCAGATTCGACCGTAGCAGAGCTCATATCAAAAGCAGAACAATTGAGTCTGTAATAAGAGCAAAGTAGAAAGAAAAGAAGAAATAGAAAATACACGAAAGTAAACATAACACAACATCATACGTCTGAACACAGGGGGTTTATACGTTGTATTTCTTCATTAACAGGATTACACATACTGCTGGTGCAGCGGATCTATTTGTAATCCTTCAGCACGCAAACCCCCCCCCCCCTAAAAAAAACCCTTCCCGTTGATAGTGCGGACTGTATTAAAACAGTCTTGTACATAAAACACGGAAGATAAGAAAGTCGTACCTCTACGAGTACTTTTATCAGGTATTCTAATTAATAAGACATGAGATGTGCTGCTAACCAGTTTAGAAAGAAAGTGACACCCCCCCCCCCCCACACACACACACGCGCGCGCGTGCACACACACACACACACACACACACACACACACACACACACACACACACACACACACACACACACACACACACCTCAGTCACCGTGGCCAGCCGTGTTTGTTCGTTAGTGTCCGATTATTTGCCACAACAGGTCTCTACCTTTCTCAATCTCTGCTTTGATAATAATAATAAGGTAAGTTAAGATAAGATAATACTTTTATTTTCTTCATAGAAGAGGGTTTTACGGCGCTCGCAACTGCATAAGGTCATATGAGCGCCAAGGAAATACTTTATTATTATCGAAGAGGGGTGATATTACAAAGAGGTAAGATAAGATAATACTTTATTATCCCAAAAATTTCCCACTTCGATAAAAAGATAATACTTTATTATCAAAGATGGAAATTTTTGGGATAATAAAGTATTATATTATCTTACCTCTATATGTATTATTCCATGAAGTCGTGTAGACCAATGTCGGATCTTACGTATTCAATGTATGTTGTAGGGGGGTCTTCCTTTATTTTATTTCTCTTTACAGTCGACAAGGAGACTGTTTTGCTGTTTCTATTTCCGTGACCAAGGTATCAGAGTCCCCCTTTGCTGATCTCATAAAGTATTCTACGTTATGTGACAAGTTTTTTCAGGACGCTTTATATTGGGTTCTCTATCTGTCCATCTGACCTGATGCAGTCGTCTATAAAACAAAAACCACATTTATGCTGCTTGGAATCGGTTTTTGATCTTTCTTTTTCAATGCCAGGACCTCGTTCCTGTACAGAACTACTGGCTATATCAGACTGAACAATTCTAAAAATGAATTTTCTCTCTCTCTCTCTCTCTCAGTCTCTCTCTCTCTCAGTCTCTCCCCACTCTCTCTCTCTCTCCCCACTCTCTCGTTCCCTCTCTTTCTCTCTCTCTCTCTCTCTCTCTCTCACACTCTCTCTCTCTCTCTCCCCTCTCTCTCTCTCTCTCTCTCTCTCTCTCACACACACACACACACACACACACACACACACACACACACACACACACACACACACACACACACACACAAACACACACGCTCCTCCTAAAAGAGAGAAATATAAATGCAATAAGTTCAAAAGCGTGGATAATATATAATCGCCCACAAAGGTTTCAAGCCGAGACATAGCTGTAGCCTACATGAAGTCAGCAATAACCTTTATACTTAAAACATCGCGACAGCCCGGAATGTCCAAAATATCATCCCATCTTTGATGTATAGGAGGCTCTCTACCCTGTCATACTGAGAGTAAGAGGCACTCTAAAGAGTCTTAAGCTATCCTCTTATCCAACAATTAGAAAGAGAAAAAAAACACAGTAAGTTCGACATGGCAAATTTAACAAAGTTCATTGTCCTTACAAACAAACAAGTGCGACATTGCTTGAACTTAGTTCTAGACGAATTAACTTAATGTATTAAGACAAAACATGAAATTACGAAAACGCCTTTCTAGAAATGAAAGCCCGCGGCACAGTAGAAGACAGAGAGTCCTGTGTTTTTGTATCAATGTTCAACTTTTCTCGCGTACAGAAGTAGACAAGTTCTCCACTATATCAGCAGGAAGCCCATCTTGACCTCGAATAAGTAAGTCACTTGATTGTGTTCCTTTCGCTCAAGTGCTCGGGCAGAGGTCGTCTATGTAGTGTAGACATTGGACCACTATGTCCACATCAAATCAGAGCGCTTAATATAAACAACTGTTTAGCACTTAAGATTTCAAGTGCGGTCCCCGGTTGCAATACAAGCTTCAATGGAACTGAAGTGTTTTATCGCAGGGCCATTTTCTCCTTTTTAATTCAATTAATTCGTACATCTAAATATCTCCTACGCTCGAGCGCACAAAACAGTGTTAGTGTGTGTACGCGTGAGTGCGTGCATGCTTGTGCGTGTGTGTGTGTGTGTGTGTGTGAGTGTGTGTGTACATGACGTGTGAGTGTGTGTGTGTGAGTGTGTGTGTGTGTGTGTGTCTGTGTGTGTGTGTTTGTGTGTGTGTATGTATGACGTGTGTGTGTGTGCGTGTGTATGAGAGAGAGAGAGAG